ACTTCTCAGAATGGTTTAATGAAGTTCAACCGCTTGCTTCGATTGCAAGTATACTATTTAACTTTTTACTTGAATGTATTGACTTTGCTGATTTTAGTAGAAAGCATTTTGTTTTATCAATAATATGTATGATTTATTTTGATAGTATTTCTGTTACAAAAATGTTTCAGTTTTAAAACAAATTGGAATATATTATATATAATACAAATATCATGTTTCATTTTCAAATGATTCTGATTTTTATCACGATGTCTTAGTGTTGAATTTCATTTGTAAATACGTAATTTTGCCTTAAACTTGAGTTATGGTATAGGACTTCATGTATGATTTAAAAAAAAAACTGCCTTGGCAAAAATATTTGAATTAGCTCTCATAGTGATATAGTCTTTTTGTGCTAAGGCGGCGTTAAGAAAAAACTAATAAACCAATCAATCTTGTCCTACCAAGGTATTGTCCGTTTAATTGACCAACAGTTTGTTCGCAGTGAAGACGAATTTCTAAACAAACTGTGCGGTTGTTTACTCGTGTAGTAGAATTAACGACATGAGTATTGTAAAGTATTTGAAGGTAGAATGAATGCTGGAATGTTCCATCAGGTTGTCGGCATTCTTATTGGAACCAACTGTGCGCTTCACCTTGTGGACCTTTTCTAAATTTCATATGAGTCGGACTTTACAAAAAACAAGTAGATCAGATCAGCTAGATCTTATAATTTCATATACTTGTATATTGACGATGTTCTCTCCATTAACAATTCATATGTTTCTGATTGGATCACATTAATATATTTACCTGAACTAGATATTTACAAAAACACAGACACAGAATCCAGTGCCTCATATTTTAACAGAATACCTCGAATTTGACTCCAGTGGTCATTCCAGTACCAGAGTCTATGACATACAAGAAGATTTCGATTTTGAAATTATAGATTTTCTTCTTCTTAGCAGCAATATATAACTTTATCCGCGTATGGGGTATATGTTCCTCAACTCAAACTATTTTTAAGAACTTTCAGCTGCTATTCAGACTTTGTAAAACATCAATGGTGTGTGAGCAAACGTTAATCTAACACGAATATTCAGTGTCAACCTCAAACATAAAACAGGATGGTCTTTAGATATTGGTTGATATATCATATCATTACTTTTTGCAGTTTTCCGTTTATTTATGTTCGTACTATTATGTCCCTTATGGTCGTTTGAATCCTAACGTGACTCTGTATATGTAGATCCGGCTTTGTGGCTTTCCTGATTGGCTGGATCCATAGGGGCGCATGGCATTTGTTAAGTGTTATTTTCGTTTTGTTTTCCCTCGTATTTCATATTTTACTTAAATTGTATTATATCGGGAAAGTGTGTATGTGTCACGTTATTTTATGTTTGATTATAATGAACTACATTATATATACTATTATCTACAAACGCTTGTTGTTTGTTGACGTCTTTTCGAGATTTAACTGTTTGTTTGCCTGGATGTTTTTAATTTAGTTATATTGTATATAATATAGAGTTTTGTTTTGTCAGTTTTTATGGGCTTCACCTTTAATTTTACCGTGGGATTCTTTTTCTTTGTTGTAATTATTAATCATAAAAGCATTAATTTTGAAAATTGGATAAAGAGTAACTTGGTATTTGTCAATGATATTAAAGATGACACTGGTGATATTTTATTTTGCAAAAAATAAGTCTGTAAGAATAATTGGATAGCAAAAATAAATATTTTGAAAAAAGCCATCCAAAAAGACTGGCTTCAGATGTTAAAGTCTAAAAGTTCTATTAAGAGTATTGTAAATATTCCTAGACATAATCTGGAAAGGTAATTACATTGAGGCTTCAAGTTTTTCAACAAACATAGTATACAAGTCAATTTGTAAAGATAAAACTGAACCCTCATTTGGTGTTAGCAAATGGATAGGTATTTTACAAATTAATGAAAACCTTAGCATTAATCAATTATATTTTTTCATGTTTCATTATGCAGAAGAAAATAAGTTAAAACTATATAGATGGAAACTTTTACAATCCATATTACCAAGAAAACACTTATTATTTAAATGGAAACAGAAGAACGACGGCCTATGTAATGTATGTAACGAAGAAGAAGATTATAACGATTTTTTAAGTTTCTTGTCAATTTTTAGAAAATTTTTTGAAAAGTATTCATGAGTTAATGAGAAAGTCAAAATTTAAATTTTAGAGTATCGTTAAAGCAATTAGTCTTTGGATATAAGATTTTTGACAAAAATTATTTTGGTCTGAATTATTTTCTAACAATTTTAGGGTTTTCTATTTACAAATCATATTATTTATCTCATCAGAAATTGACAAATGTAAATGTCTAACAAATTTTTGTTCAAGAATACATAAAATGATATAACGAAAACAAAACAATGAAATTAAATCCATTACTGAAGTCACTAAAAAGAAGTAACCACGATTGAATAGATAAAAACATAATACATAAAACTTTTGTACAATTGTATTTCAAGAAATGTGTACATCCATATATATCAACAGCTGACTACTAACCTGGGTAATCAGTGGAATATTACAGGATGCATCAAGAAAAGCTTGGTTTCTTGAAGTAACAATGTGACAAGCATATTTGGTGAATAAATATGAAACACTCCCAAACGTGTCCATCCCCCAAAACGTGTCTATTTCCCTCAAACGTGTCCTTAAAAGTTGATATCGCCCAAACGTGTCCAATTTCATGACCCCCTAAACGTGTTCGATAATTTTTATTCGTCAAAACGTGTCCACTGTAAAACGCCAGAACGTCTCACGTCTTTTAGCGCTAATACATGTATGTCCTAAATAAAATCAATAACGTTTACGGCAATTCTATGGAGGGGGACGCAGTTGACTAAGTGGTCATTGATTAGCATTAGTTTGTTCAATGCCGTTTGTTAATGATTATCATAATTGTAAATTTAATCTGTAACATATGAATTAACTTTTGACTGAAATTACTTATTGTCCAGTTGCAAGTATTTCATGCTCATTTAGAGCGAACTTACAAATAATTCTAGTACAGTTGAATTAATCATTAACTATGTAAATTATTTTTTACTATTGATTTCCGATGATGACTTTTATATTTATCCGAATATTGCACGGCGTGCTTTCTGCAGAATTGACTTCCCTTTTTTCAACAGTTCTGATATTTTAAAAGCTTTTCAAATCATAAACTGGTTATCAGTTTTTTTTTAATAAATTGTAGGTTTCGAACTTCACTAAAGACACACGTTTTTTAACTGAGCCTGCCTGCTTATATTTACATCCAACATAGCGGAAACTGACGCCCCCACTTTTATCCAGGTTACACTGCCATTTTAAAAAAGACCTAAAGTAATTTATTTCTATTTTTAATGAAATAGTAAAATGAGTATACGTTAATGAAAAAGCAATAACCAAATAAACTACGTATTTATAATATGGACACGAATGATAGTTCTAGTAAAAGGGAAGAAATAAGCTTGATATGGACACGTTTGGGTGTTTAATAAAAATATGGACACGTTTGGGCGTTTATACAGATGACACGCTTTGGCGCCGTTTTACAACTAGACATGTTTTGCAGATTGGTGACGTTATGTGGACACGTTTGGGGGAATCGGACACGTTTGGGGGGAAGGACACGTTTTTGAGTGGTACAAATATATAATGTCGTTAAAAAAAAAAAAAACAAAAACAGAAAAAAACAACATAAAAGCATGATTTCATGGACAATTAAAATCTCAGTTATCTGTATTTTAATTGCAAATACTCCCTATTCACAATCCCCATAGAGCAGTTTGGTTAAGCATAGGTGTGCATTTGTTTGTTAATGTCTGGTAATGGGATAGGTTAGTGGATCTATTGTTCCTTTTGTTTGACATTAAACATGTTAAATGAATTGAACTTTAACGGGATCATCGTCTTATTATTCTTAACCTACATCCAATTCTGCTTTTGCTTTGAATTGAAGAAACTGCGTTGATGTTTTGAACAATATTGTACACGTCTGCAGTCGTAAATGGTTTCTATCTTCAGATTGTTTTTCAGTAAGAAATGACTGTATAAACACGTAATCGTTATCACTTTCTCTTTAAATACCTACAGCAGACATGTTTGCTTTCTGGATTCTGTCAATTCAAATAAAAGTTAACATCTTACCTTCATATCTAAATTGTCTATTTGATAAATTCAATGTGTGATTTAACTTTACTTAAAATGTTGATAACTACAGTGTATGTATCATTTAGCGTCGTATATTTCAACGCTTTTACGTCGGAACTTTAAACATGTTAACATTTATATTTCATAACTGCGACTTTGTTTTACTATTAGCTGCTGAAAAAGAAGAGAAAAACTGAAAATATTCCGATTGTTTTTAGGAAATACAAATCCAATCTTTAAGATAGAGTATGATTGGATGGGTCGCGTAGTATGATTGCTATATTAGACAGCCATAAAATTTGATACCACATACAATGGCTATATAATTTTCACTCCTTTTCTAACTGTACTTAAGGTTTGAAAAAAGAAAATACAGTTTTGTAACAAAAGGAACAGCGCGTTACAGTTACATATATTCTGATCTATGTGAATATAAGATGATGTGATATGATTGCTGATGATTCAACTTTCTACTACGTAACAAATGACATAGATGTTAACAGCTTGTCTGTTTCTGCTATATTATTTTGACAGCTTTAACAACATATTATCTTATTTCGAGTGCCTTTATTAAGTGCTCTGTCTTTAAATCGTCCTGTAAATATCAACTGTTATACTATGAGTGTATGACAACTAACCATGATATTGTCCGTGTATTTGTTTGTTGGAGTTTAACGGCAGCGAAATTTGCTATTATACCAATTATAAAATCGGTTTTGAAATTCATAAACTTCTTTAATTGTTGGCCATGTTATTTGTTGTACTCTTATCATTTGTATGACACTGTTGTTTTATACCTTTGTATGATACTGTGAACATTGCAACCTTTTAATTCAGTATGGAGATACTCCCTTACACTCAGTTGCTATATATGGACATCTCAACATAGTTAAACTGTTATTGGAAAGAGCAGATATAGATCCAAATAAAGAAAATGAGGTATGTGATGATGTTTTATACAGGATTGTCCAACTTAGTTAAATGTTCCATTACAATAAAAGAAGAGAAGAACTGGAAATAGTCCAATTGTTATTAGGAAATACTAATCCCCTTACCCAAAACAAATAAAAAAGAGTATGCATAGATTGGTCCTATTATAATTGCTCAATCGTTTGAGACATAAAAAAAAGAAAGGAAAATTATGTTAAATTACACATATCCTGATATATATATATAAATAAGAAGATCTGATCTGATTGCCAATGGGACAACTTTCAACTACGTAACACACGACGTAGATGTTAGCAGATTGTCTGTTTCTACTATATAATTTTGAAAGCTTTAACAACAGCTTATTTTATTTCAATTGCCTTCACTAAGACAACATTTGTTATTATATGAGGGTGATACAACTTACCATTATAGTGATCGTGTATTTGTTTGTTGGAGTTTATAATAATAAGATGATGTGATATAATTGCCTATGATTAAACTTTCCAGTCAATGACGTAGATGTTAACAGCTTGTCTGTTTTTGCAATATAATTTTGAAAGTTTTAACTACATCTTATCTTATTTCGATTGCCTTCACTGAGACCTCTTTCTTGAAATCTGCCCGTAATAATATCAACTGTTATACTGTGAGTGTAAGACAGCTTAACGTGATATTGTTCGTGTATTTGTTTGTTGGAGTTTAACGCCAGTGATATCGGCTATAGCAGTTCTTGTCGGTGGATGAAACTGGAGTAAACAGACAGAACCACCGACTTTCGACTAAAAACTGTTAACTTTGGTCATGATAAATCGTATTGGAATACACATTACCACATTTTTATATACAACAGTTATAAACTTAATCCCCATTTACTGTTTCAAAACAAAAACGATTCATAAAAATGCTTTTGAAATTCATAACCTTTTCTAATTGTAGGCAATGTTATTTTTTGTACTCGAATCATTTGAATGACATTGTTGTTTAATACCTTTCTATGATATTCTGAATATATGCAACCTTTTTATTTCAGTATACTGGTGATACTCCCTTACATGCAGCTGCTAGTGGTGGATTCATCAGCATAGTTAAACTGTTATTACAAAGAGCAGATATTGATCCAAATAAAGAAAATAAGGTATGGGATGACGCTCTTTACACGATTGTCCAATTTTCTTAAATCATCCATCAAAGGAAATTCTAATACAAAAAAATAGATAGGGTATGAATGGATTGGTCGGATAGTATAATTGCTAAATCGTTTGAGACATCGATTGTGTCTATCTAATAAAGTAAGTGACATATTAAGACTTGCATGCATAACGAAAAGAACTAAATCTGACTAAGTCTGCAGAGATATTTCTTTTTTATTTAACATTAAGTATAGAAGGAATATTGCAATTTAGCAAAATTAAAAATATATATGCATGACGTCATTCTGTTATCTCTGTATGGAATATCTAGTTCAATGACGCTTTCTTGACTGGCTATTTTGTCGAGTTAGCTGAACAAATGCAAATACTATGGAGACGTTAGAGGGGATCACTAGTATTAAATGTGTTACGTTTTGTATAAAAAACATGAAACACAGTTTTTTTTATAATTCTGTAATAAAGCTTTTGATGGTTCCTCCTTTATTGCAAAAAGTATAACTGGAGTGTCAAGAAGACTAATTATATTGATACATGTATTTGTTTACCCAATATGCTGATATATTCCGGACTTTGATACCTGCTGTCTTGTATTTTTGTGTAACTACTCAATTTCATCTGAACTTAAAATCATATCCCATTTGTTCTCATCTTTTTTTGAAATATATCATTTATAATTGGTAGTAAATGCGTGACTTAAGCTAATAATATATAAAAAAAATGGTATTTTAATTCAAAATCCAACTTCGTGAATTTTTTAATGATGGCTTTGTATACCTTTGTATGATTATATGAACATTGCAATCTTTTATTTTAGTATAGTGATACTCCCTTACACTCAGCTATTAAAGGTGAACACCTCAACACAGTCAAATTGTTATTAGAAAGAACAGAGATAGATCCAAATAAAGAAAATTCGGTAAGGAACGTTGTTTTGAACAGAACTGTCAAACTTTGTTAAATCAGTTCTGACAACTATTTAAATCAATGTCATCACTATGTTGCTTATACATTTGTTTACATACCTTTGCAAGATACTGAAGGATCGATCTAGTCCTAAGTATTTCATAAATACATTTTCGCGAATCTGCTTTCTTTAATCAGCTCTGACAACCAATAATTGAGGGAATCACATGAACCGACAAGGGAAGAGACCGGATGCGTTGACAGGATAAGCCTCTTCTGCTTCGCCTGCATCACCCACCATACGAATATAACACGCAGTCAAAATGTCACAGGGGTCTCAGTCAAGGTAATCAAAATAATATATGATGTAGGTAACATTTTGCACAAAGCTTTTGATTGTTTCTCCTTCATTGCAAAAAGTACCATTTGAAGTGTCAAAAAGACTAATTTTATTGATACATGTATTTGTTTACCCAATATGCTGATATATTTCATACTTTGATACCTGCTGTCTCGTATTGTTGTGTAACTACTCAATTTCATCTAAACCTAAAATCATAATCAATTTGTTCTCATCTGTTTTTGAAAATATATTATTTATAATTGGAAGTTAATGCTTATCTTAAGCTCCTCTTTAACTAGTTGTAAACATTCTTTATTAATTAGAAATAGTATCCTAAACGTAGGTACCACACCTTTCCATATTATTTTCTTTTTGCAGTTGTGATACAAAGATATGCATTGGATCACATTTAATTTAAATTTTAAAACAGAACTCTTTCCTTACGCATCGGAAACTTAATCGTATTCAGTAAACTTGTAAGACTGTTCTGAAGAAAAAACGCAACTTACCACTATTCATGCCGTTAGGTTACTTTTCCAAAATGGTATAAGCGTCAAAAAAAGTTAACCCCCTCCCCTCCCAAAAAAAAGATAAATATAGCTTCGGAACGTTACTCATTTACGGTTGATCAATCATTTTCTTTGAATCAACTGTTTAAAAACATAAATAATTGTCGACACACTAAGGATTTTCGACTCCCATACATAGATGACCTTAGCCATATTTGGCACAACATTTTGGAATGTTTGCTTTTTCAACAATGCTCTTCAATTTCGTTAAAGATTTGGCTTTCAAACTATTTTGATTCGAGCGCCACTAATGAGTCTGACATGGACCATACACGAATCTGGCGTACCAAATTTTAAGACTGATATATTTTATATGTTTTTTTTTCAAACGACATGCCCTGACATTTACAAGGGATCTATGTATTTACAAATCTTTTGATCAAACCTCTACGTTCTGTAGTTTTCATGTCAAACATACTTTAAAAAATGAATTATTCTCGTATTCATGATCACAACAATTCCTTGTCATAAAGCTACTAAAAAAATGTATACATAAAGGATATTTAAATAGCAGTGTTTTATTTCTATATATTTTTTTTATTGTTCCACCTTTTCGAAAATCATGTGTTAATTTGGATAATGCTTCTCACATTGATAGTTACAGATGGGTACAGTCCTAACCTGTACAGCAAATTAACTTGCTAAGACTGGTCAAAATTAACCTGCGACAGGATTTAGGACTGCTCTGACCAGTCCTAGGACTACAATCAAGTTAATTTGGAAAGCGGACTTGGTCCTAGGACTGTTTTTTTGACTGCCGAAAAAGTTAAATTGATACAGGTTAGCTACTATTAAATGTTAACTTCGAAACCAGTCCTGCAATAAGATTGATTTTGATTTTGACAAGGCCGATCGAACCAGAACTGATCTCAAGTTAACTTTTGGCTGGTTTGCTCAACACTAAGTTAACTTATATCCAGGTTAACTTGTAACCAGGACCTCTCCACATCGATTTATTAATCAAAATATTTTTAAATTTTTTGTTTCTTGATATAAACAATACAGATTAAAAACCATTGCATTTGTAAATAAAGTATGTATAAAACTTTGCATGTTATACAAATTTCTCCATGATCTGTCTTTTTTTAAATCGAAAACGATATTGGTTACACTGTTAACGTGCATTGCATATATATTTCAATGAATATCAAATTCTTCAAGTCGTTTTTTTAAGTCGTAAAAAAACCCACCAAAAAAGCAAATAACACATAGTACATAGAATGTATAAAATAATCATGATAAATGAAAGCAATATTGGTGTACAGTTACTAATATTTAGCATGTTTATGGTCGGCTATAATTAAGAGTGCCCACATTTCTACTGTTTCTTTTTCTGCATCATTTAAGAATGCCAGCATGTCCTCTTTTTATTCAAATAATTAAATCGTCACTAAAAATCAGAGGTTTTCATATCTCAGACTGGCTGGTATGACACAAATTTTTGACCGCATCTGACAAAACTGACCATATTTGCACTTTATTATAAAAATTGATATAGCTGCATAGTATTTTTTTTTAACTCAGGACGGATTGCATGATATAAATGATATCAAAATTGGAACACAATGACTACAAAATTTTGTCCGTATCAATTTAAAGTGCCAGCATGTCCTCTTTTTATTCATATAATTGAATCGTCACTAAAAAATCAGTAGTTTTCATATCTCAGACTGGCTCGTATAACAAAACTATTTGACCACATCAACCAAAACTGACCATATTTGTACTTTATTATAAAAAACTTATATATCCGCACAATAAATCAGTAATTGAACTCAGGACGGATTGTATGGTACAAATGACAGCAACATTGGAATACATGGACTACAAAATTTTGTTTGCATCAATTTAGAATGCCAGCAGGTCCTCTTTTTCTTCAAATAATTGAATCGTCACCAAAATTCAGAAGTTTTCATATCTAATAAAATTGAGAATGGAAATGGGGAATGTGTCAAAGAGACAACAACCCGACTATAGAGCAGACAACAGCCGAAGGCCACCAATGGGTCTTCAATGCAGCAAGAAACTCCCGCACCCGGAAGCGTCCTTCAGCTGGCCCCTCAACAAATATGTATACTAGTTCAGTGATAATGGACGTCATACTAAACTCCAAATTATACGCAAGAAACTAAAATTAAAAATGATACAAGACAAACAAAGGCCAGAGGCTCCTGACTTGGGACAGGCGCAAAAATGCGGCGGGGTTAAACATGTTTTTTAAGATCTCAACCCTCCCCCTATACCTCTAGCCAATGTAGAAAAAACAAACGTACAACAGTACGCACATTTAAACTCAGTTTAAGAGAAGTCCGAGTCCGATGTCAGAATAGGAAACAAAAGAAAATAAACAAAATGACAATAATACATAAATAACAACAGACTACTAGCAGTTACTGACATGCCAGCTCCAGACCTTAATTAAACTGATTGAAAGATTATGTCTTCATCATATGAATATCAGGCACAATCCCTCCTGTTAGGGGTTTAGTATTATACCGTCATAAAATATATGAGAAGAACATAACCCGTGTCATGCCAACAACTGGTTTTAGAATATATATGTTTAATTCCGATGCAAAGACCCTATAAGTGAATCAATATTAAAGCCAAAATATGCAATTTTTAATGACCTGACAACAGTATCGTAACTATATCCCTTCTAAATAAGTCTGTTTAAAGGTTTTGTTAGCTTTTGAGGTGAATACTGACATTTTTGTGCTTTGTAAAGAATATTACCATAAAAGATTGGATGTGAAATACCCGAGCGTATAAGATGTCTGCATGTTGAGTTATATTTACGAATGATGTCCTTATACCGATGATAAAATTTAGTAAATGTTTTGACTAGTTTATGATATCGAAAACCCTGGTGTAATAATTTTTCAGTAATATATAAATTTCTCTCGCTAAAATCTAATACGTTGTTACATACACGAGCGAATCGTACAAGTTGAGATATATAAACACCATAAGATGGTGACAAGGGAACATCACCATCTAAAAATGGATAATTAACGATAGGAAATGAAAAATCATCTCTTTTATCATAAATTTTTGTATTAAGCTTCCCGTTAATGATATAGATATCAAGATCGAGGAAAGGACAGTGGTCATTGTTAGTATTAGCTTTATTTAAAGTAAGTTCAACAGGATAAATTTCTTT